AGCGGGCGGGTCAGGAGAGGTCTGCCACACCATGTGGTCACCTCCGGGGCAGGTGCAGAAGTGACTTTAGCTTCTTAGTGCAGTGCTTTAACCCGCTGCACCACCAGGGAGGGCCGCCTTCTTCCTATTTTAAGTAGCATGTCGCCTTGATGGTGGTGAGACAGATGGAAAGGCCTGTGGAACCCAGTGTGGAGTGAGACTGTGCCCACCTGCCACAGTCTAGGCCCAGCCCCTTGCCCACTGTTGGGGACGTCTTCATGCCTCTGGGGGCCGGCGCTGTTGACAGCAAGCAGAGCTGTCTTCTGCGACTCTCTGCTTAAGGGCAGAGCTTCTGCCAGTTGTGGGAAGGCCTGGGCTACGTCTTGAGGAGGATTTAGGCACAAAATTATCTCTATGGTATCTCCAATAGTTGTGGAGAAGACGAGCTCAGACACTTTAGTCACCCAGAGTTAAGAGTAGCATCTGGGGAGTGGGGTGGGCAGCTCTAGCCCCTGCCGAGTCCAAAAGCACCCAAAGGCACAGGCACAGTACGAGCAGAGGCAGGTGCAGAGGCCTGCTTAGGACTCCTGTGTGCTGGTGGAGCTGGTGGTCAGGGGTGAGGGTGGGGGACACTGGATATCCCAGGAGGTAAAACAGACCAGATGCCGGGGCTGGTTACGGAGGGTGAGGGGGAGTCCGGAATGCCTCCAGATTGCAGCGTGGTGAGCACTAACTGAGACAACATGAGAAAGAAGGGGAAGGCTGGGGAGAGCGGCTGTTGAGGTGAAGTGTGGACAGGCTGAGGGAGAGCTGAGTAAAGATGCCCCTGCCCTGGGGCCACTACTTGGGGCGCCTCAGTGGGGCTGCCTGGGCTTGGAGCGCAGGGGTTGGGGGGCGCGTCGCAGGGCTGTTTCTGTTCACCTTCCTGATGGCCAGTTGCCTCCATTGGGTAGACTCCTGTGGCTTCCAGACAAACACGGGCATCCCCATCCTAAGGAAAGTATCTGACCTGAAAAATAACAGCCAGTTTTTAGGGGAAGTAATTAAATAACTGTGTATGGTTTAGGGTGTCAGTGTCCCGGCTGAGCATCATAGGCTAAGTACAAGATGGGTACCTCTGGGCACTGATCTTCCTAGAACACTTTGATCTCAAAGCCACCATCCTCCCATTGTAGCAGGGAGAAAATTAGTGGCACGCCTGATTCTTCTGAAGCCAGGTAATGTTGCAGTCATTATCCTTTCCATCAGTAGAACAGATGCTAAACTCCACACAGCTGCCTGCTTCCGGCGCGGCTGAGTCAGCCGTGTGGCGTGTGAGGCAGCTGCCGGCGCCCAAGCCCCAGAGGGTGAGAACTCTGTGTTTGACAGGCTCTGATGCCCTTGAGAGACCACAGTCTGTGCCATTGTTGTGTTCCCGCCAGCCCCGTGGTAGCCCTGCAACTCTGCAGCAGCCACGGGTCCGATCCGTTCTCTGCACATTTGCACATCAGAGTCTTGTTTTGCTTTTGCTACATCCCTGTGTTTGTCATAATCTCACTCATGCAAATTCATGCTCTTCCCCAGCCTGTTTTCTGTTGTATAATCAAAATATTGGTTACTGCTTTTGACGGAAGTTTCCCCTAAAATTGCGTTTTCATGAAGCCTTGTTAGTAATTCCCAGAGTTCAGCAGACCAGGCTTAGGGAAGATTGTAGCTATTTTGCTCAGAAATGAATTCTTCGTGCCCATAAAATTGTTGCTGTTGTAGGTAGCTGTTAAAATGTAATTTTTTTTTTAACCACGTCATACTGTTTACCACTGACATGCTGGCTGCTAACTCAGTTAACGTTCATCACCAGAGTGTGGGCTGGCAAAGGTTCCTTTGTCTAATGTACTGACAAATTTTGTTTGCACAGAGATTTTGCCTACGTAGCCAGAGACAAAGATACAAGAATTTTAAAATGTCATGTATTTCGATGTGACACACCAGCAAAAGCCATTGCCACAAGTCTCCACGAAATCTGTTCCAAGGTAAGGTGGGTCTTGGGGATCCCACCTCCTCTGTTCACTGTCTGAGCAGGAAGGGATGTGAGTGGGGGAGCGGGGTGATATAGCTTGAGTCCAGGGAGACGCAGCCAGCATGTTAGAGGATCCTCGAGGGTCAGAGGATCCACGTTGGGCGCCACTGCTGCGGGGTGCCTTGACCTGCAAGGCCGGGGAGTCGGGGCCCCAGGTCCGGCGAACAAAAGAAACAGTCACACGCGTGTAACAGAACAAAGAGAGAGTTTTATTTTGTTTTTATCTAGTTTATATAAAATACAAGAGGTGGGGGATGCAGAAGTCGGGAAGGGAGAAAGCCAATGGACAATAGACATGCAGCAATGTTTTGGTAGCAGTTGGTCTCGCGAGGGGCAAAAGTGGGCGAGAAAAGAAAGAGGAAAAGGAAAAGGTGGGGGCAGGGAGTTCTTCCCACATGCCTTTTGCAACCCGGATGTTTTTCTCTATCCGGACTCCATTTCACCTTTTTTATGACTGCTGACAGACGCCAGATGCCGGCCTCGGTCCCCAACAAGGATCTGGTCCAAATTCCTCTATATTCACTTGTGTTGTTTGAGTCGAGGTGTGAGCCTCAGGAGGGGAAGAATACATTTCCCTAAAGTAGGAAACTGTTAACTCTGAGGAAAAGTCTTTCACCTGTTGTCACCAGGAAACGTAATGCGTTCTCAAACGATGTAGCTCGGTGTAGCTCTGAAGATGTGACGTGGGAAGCCAGGGAATCGACTGAAGTCAGTGTAACTGGGAAGTGAAATGGGATCTGGTGCTTTCTTGGCTGAAGTAATAGGCTGTAACCGTGAACCGATGCTGTCTGTTCCCTTCCTCAGATTATGGCCGAGCGGAAGAATGCCAAAGCCTTGGCTTGCAGCGCCTTACAGGAGAGAACCAATGTGAATCTGGACGTGCCCTTGCAAGGTAGGTCAGCCCTGTGTCCTTCCCAGGGCTATCGCTTCTAGTCGAGGGCTGAAGCTTCTCTGATGGTTGCCTACAATTAACTCTAGGTCTCCTTAGAACCCATGCACAGCTCAGCTAGCTCTCTCAGTGCCTCGTGTGTAGAGTTGATTCTGTGCTGATAGGATTAGGCATGAAGGGTCAGGAAGAGTTTTGCTGTGGTTGCATGACATTAAGGAATGTGATTTTCAGTGATTTTTCAGACTTACATACAACCTGGATTAAAGGCCAACTACTTTAAAAATATATGGGTTGCTATTTGGGGGAGGACTCAGTTTATTGTTTTTCCTGTCTCTGAATATGCCCCTTCTGATTAAATCTTCTCTGGGCATCAACCACACCAAACAAATAGGACATCAAAAGCTGTGTTTGATTAGCACACAACAAAGAGATAGTAGCAGCTCTTCCGTCTAGATTCCAGGTCCTGCTTTCAAATGCTTTCCTACTTAGGAATGAAAGTTGAATGAGATTTTTATTGACAGAGCCCCAGTGTCTGTTCTCATAGGCCAATGGCCACATTATGTCTCGAAGCAGGATACTGTGGCACGGGGCGTTCCAGGTGACATCGTGATGCTGTTTTTTATGTCTGTGGAAACCACTGAAAAAACCATGTTGCCTTTTGTTCCCCGTAGTAGATTTCCCAACACCAAAGACGGAGCTGGTCCAGAAGTTCCACGTGCAGTACTTGGGCATGTTACCTGTAGACAAACCAGTCGGTATGTAAATCACCTGTGTTGCTCCACCCACCCGGGGGTGGGCCCTGCCGTTTGTCTTGTCTTGATGACATGCCACAAGTCAGAGCGTAGGAACAGTCCTGAACAAAGAGCAACAGAGGACAGGCCAAGCTGTTTGTGACCTGCCATGTGAGCCCCAGAATATTGGGATCTAACAAGGCAGGCACCCCACAGTCCAGAGATGTTCAAACTAGGGCTGCAGCAGGACTCTGCCCTTGGGGGGCGGGGGCCATGGCATCAGCTTACATCCTGTCCAATGACAAACAGGAAGAAAGTGCCTAGAGAGCCATTACTTTGTCCCATTCAGGGTTGACCTACAACCTTTCATACACAACTGGGGAGAAAGCAAAATTGTGTGGCCACTTTGGAAAACACTCTGGCAGGTCCCCAGAAGTTTAAACATGGAAATACTATATGACCCAGCAATTCAGCTCCTAAGCCTGCTGCCAAGTAAAATGAAAACATCTGCCTGTGCTAAACCTTGTACAGATGTTCACTACACTATTATTCGTGATGGTCAAAAAGTAGAAACAACTCAAATATCTGTCAGCTGACGAATGGGTAAATCAAATACACTTCCATATGTTGGCATTCTTTTGAGTAGAGACCTAGGGGTGAGATTCCTGGATCATATGGTTGATCTGTTTTAGAGGTTGAGAAACTGCCTCACTGTTTTCCATAGGAGCTGGAACAGTCTGCATTCCCACAGAGTGGCCTGCCAGGGTTCTCGTTTCTCCTCATCTTTGCCAACACTTGTTTCTGGTTCTTTTGATGTGGGTCATTCTCACAGATGTGAGGTGGTATCTTATTGTGGTTTTGATTTGCTTCTCCCTGATGACAGCTGATTAGAAGCATTTCTTCATGTGCTTAGTGACTATAGGTTATTTAGCTCTTCTGCCCATTTATTCATTTATTGATTTTTTTTTTTTAGTTTTATGATTTCTTTGTAGATCTTGGCTAGTAGCCCTTTGCATTATACATGCTAAATAAATAAACTGTGAATTATTTTGCCACAAAGTTGCTATCCTATCCCACCTCCCTCCCCTTCAAATAAAGTAACTCTGGGACCACCCAGCAAAAGAACCATGTAATAGCACATACTACTCACAAACAGGAGGTACCACCCAAACTTGCCCTATTTAGTGAGCAGTGTATGATGAAGGCAGATCAGGGTAGTCCAGCAAATGCTGACTTCTGTTGGGTCCCCTTTTTCTGGGTTCCCTACTTTTAAAAAAGGTAAAATTTCCATTTCACTTCAGTGAGAATGGTACATCTTAAAATAACTAACAACAAATGTTGGCGAGGATGTGGAGAAAAAGGAACTCTCCTGCACTGCTGGTGGGAATGCAAACTAGTACAACCACTATGGAAAACTGTTTGGAGGTTCCTCAAACTGCTACAAATGGAGCTTCCATATGACCCAGCAATCCCACCCCTAGGTATCTCCCCAAAAGACACAAGAACACTGATTCAAAAAGATATTTGTACCCCATGTGTATTACTGCTTTATTTACAATTGGAAAGACATGGAAACAGCTCAAATGCCCAAAAGTTGATGACTAGATTAAAAGGATGCGGTACATATACACGATGGAATATTACTCAGCAACCAAAAAAAGACAAACACATTCCTTTTGCCACAACATGGATGGAGCTGGAAGGGATCATGTTTAGTGAGATAAGCCAGAAAGAAAAAGAAAAATACCAGATGGTTTCATTCATAGCAGGAGTATAATAGACCAGGCAAGAAAATAATGTTAATAATGAACAGCTATATACCAGAGACATTTTATGGGGGTGGAATGGGGAATGGGATCAAAAACAGTGGGGGGAGGGAAATGCACTGGACTATGGGTGATGGCACATGGGTGATTTGGTGATGGGAAACCCAAGGGAGTTACAACTGAGATGAAAAATGCACAAAATGAATGATGTGAAAATACACACACACACACACACACACACACACACATATATATATATATATACACACACACACACACACACACATACATGCTTAATAAAAATTTAAAAAGGTATTTGCTTGAATACTGTTTATACACTCAAGGAGAAAAAGGGAGCATGCTGATTCAGTCAAACACTACATCTCTGGAAGTTCTTATGACTCTTTCTGTTAAAAAAGCTGCCATTTCGTTTCCTTTATTTTCTTTCACTAGCAGTAAAATTGCATAAGTGAACTGTCTTATCTTGTGGAACTAAAAAAAAGAATAAAAGATCAGTTGGACATAGCTGATGTTGCTGGGTGGTTGAGAGCTGAGTGTGATAAATAGCTTTGGGGCCTTTTTCACTGATGGCCTTCCATCCACAGGAATGGATACCTTGAACGATGCCATAGAGAGTCTCATGACCTCGTCCAGCAAGGAGGATTGGCCATCAGTGAACATGAACGTTGCCGATGCTACTGTGACTGTCATCAGTGAAAAGGTGTGAAGGACTGTGGAGCCCCAGGGGTTGGGCTGTCTGGGTTATGAGAGGTTGAGGATACAGTAATCTTCCATGAAACTTAGACCCAGAGCCCAGATTTGGCATCTAGGGAGCTATGCCAGTAACTTAAAGAGCTTATATATTTTGAAAATGTCTTTGCTCCTTGTGTTTGGATCTCTGTACACCTTAATTTTCTTCTGGGCTCTGAAGCATCAGTTATGGAGCTCCTGATTGAAATCATTTGCAAGAGGTGACTGTATGCCACTTGATTGTAGTATCTCCCTGGGGGTTGGTGGCCAGTGAGTTTACCTGGGCACAAGATGTAAGAAGTATGCGTGATGATGTTCCTGCCCGCTGTGAACTCAGAGGCTTGAAGCAGAGTGGAGGAAGGACAGAACACAGAGCTCTGTGTGTGCTCAGCATGCGATTCAACACCACAGAGAAAAGCTCACTCTAAGAATGGCTCTCCAGGGCCTTCCTGGTGGAACAGTATGTTAAAGCACAACACTATGAAACTATTCGTACCCACTGCAGCACAAGTTCGATCCTGGCCAGGGAGCTGACCCACATTCACTGCTTCCCTCAGCAGTACATTTCAGTAGCTCCACCTGTTCTCCCCACTCTGTCTCTGGTGAATCCTCTTACCCCCTGCACCTCTGGCCTGTACTCAGAGGTGTGCATAAATAAATCTTTTTTCTAAAAAAAAGAAAAGAATGGGCTCTCCAGACACATTTAGAAACTTGCCCTTCTAGAAGCATAAAGCTTCTCTACATTCAATCTGACTGTTTTAATACGAGTTCCTGCATGTCACCAGCTGAGCCTGGCTGAAGGTCAGCTGTGCGCATGTGTCAGCTGTGCTGGCTTTCCAGAGAGCGTGAGCCGCTGAGCAATTTGTCTTGCAGAATGAAGAGGAAATCCTTGTGGAGTGTCGTGTGCGATTCCTGTCCTTCATGGGCGTGGGGAAGGATGTCCATACCTTTGCCTTCATCATGGACACCGGGAACCAGCGCTTTGAGTGTCATGTTTTCTGGTGTGAACCCAACGCTGCTAACGTGTCAGAGGCGGTCCAGGCCGCCTGCATGGTGAGTGAGGCCGCCCCACACATCTGCCCCTGTTTGTGTTTTAAATGCTCTAAATTAGAGGTATGTGACTAACTCAGAAAAGGAACTTCAGATCTCTAAGGTAATGCTTCAGTGACAGGCACTCACTTGTTCTATGCATGAAATCAGCACGAGTTGTTTGCCCTCTCGGATCCGGGACCCCAGAAAGAAGCAACAGCCTGATTCTGTAGAGATCCAGAAGCATCGAAAGGATGAACTTAGAAACTACAAATTGGCGGATTCCCAATTCCTGATCACTAATTAATTTCAGTATGTGATCAAAAAGTGTTAGTCATGCATGAGTTGGTGCTGTTTGGAGCCAACTCAGTGCTGCTTTTAAAAAAAAAAAAAAAAGCAGTGTGTTGGATGATTTTTATTTCAGATAGTTGAAGTGCATTTTTCTTACATATTTTATTTGTATCTTTTAACTCAATCTTGTAACAACCCAGTTAGGTGATTATTTTATTTGGGAACAAATAAGGAAAGGCTGGTCCCACCCTCTCCCCCAAGGGAAGAGCCGGTGTCAAAACCTGTGTGAAGCCCCCAGATTTCTGGTTACAAAGCCAGAGTTCTTTGTAACCCGGCATATGATTTCAAACACAAAGACCTTGCTGTGCCTTCTGCAAAGAGCCTTTGAGCTATGCCAGGAACTGCACAAATTCTGGTAAAAATGAGGGGAATGTGTGAATGCAGACCTCACACCTGGGGTGCATGGAGTGTCTAGCAACAGCTGGTGGGTGCTGGAACCAAGTGGAAGGAGAGGAGGTCTGTATTGTGAAAGGTGACGTCACGCCAGGGTGTCTTGTCTCCGCAGAGACAGCCTTTGTCTCAGCAAAGCAGAAGAGTGGGCTGAATAGAAGAGTTCTTTAAAGTGTGCTCAGTTCAGAAAAGTGGAGGGTAAGGTGGAAGTGCAGGACTGAAATGGGGAGATCATCCAGTTTGCTGGTTCTGGTGAGAGTTGCAGAGAATCTGAACCAGGAGTTGAGGAACTGAATGGGGTCAGGAATGCTGATTTGCAGCTCCTGCATCATTTAATTCAGTGCTTCATTCATGGGCAGGACTCAGGCAGTTCAAGCAGGGCTAAGATAGGTTCCTTGCAATATGAAGCTTAGGTTTGGGAGGAAGATACATGAGCCAAAATTCTATTCTGGTGTAAAAAGTGCTATAAATAAATAAGACTGCTCTGGATTGAGAAGTGATTGGAAAGAGAAAGAAGACACAGAAAATACATACATTGAAAATTCTCATGGTGAAGGGGAGCCAGAAGCACATCTTTGAGGGGCTTGTTCATTTGTCTTAGGGTGTGTAGGAAGGGTTCACAGATCTTCAGGGAAGTGAGCCAAAGTGGGGTCACGCATGTATTTTATGGGGCCAGGGTGTTGGCGATCTGGATGGGGCAAGGTCTAGGTTAAAAGCCGCAGTCGGACTTAACCTCCTCCCTGGGGTAGAAATAGAAGATGGTGAGAATCCAAGCATGGATTCTTGTGTGATCTGGGGAAGCTGAGTTTGGGATGCTCTGGGTTATTGGATGTTTTTTCACCCGGTACACTGCTAGATTTAAAGAGAGAAAAGGCTGAGCAGTGTGTGTGGCATAGTGGGGAATGAGAAGAGCCATCGACTTTTAGCTTGAAAGTCACCTTTCAAAAGGAGAGGGGAGAAGGGGGAGGGAAGACCTGGCATTTCATTCCTAGCATCTTTCCTCCCAAGTGTTGTGGAGTCAGGATTCCACCTGAAATATGCCTGTATATAAGGGAACAGGGCTGAGAGGGAGAGGGCTCAGAGCAGGGGTGTGGGTGTTAGAGGACTCAAGATGAACCCCTGGACCAGACACAGGAAACTGAGATGGGATCAGGGACCACTGGAAAAAACAAGGACGGGGGAGGGGGAAGGATCAAAAAATGGGAGACTTAAACCAGGCGAAATGGAAGATGACTGTTTAGGTACCTCATGAAATTGAAGAGGATCCTAACAGATGGTTTTAGTCATAAAATGAATGGCATTCAGTCTTAATTATGCATTTAAACGCTGATGACAATTAAATAATTAGCTTTATCACTGGTTACAGTTTGTTTTCTAATTTCCACACTCATTTTCTCTTAGAAACAATTTTTCCTCATTCGCTTACTATTTTAAGTGCATTAGGGTACCCAGCTGCGGTGGCTCCCGTCCAGGACAAGGCTAGAATATTTATTTATTTATTGTAATTTCTCTATTTCTATATGCATATGTTTTACATGAGATGTAGTCCCTTCGAATTTTTACACCCTGAATCCAGTGTTCCTAAGGCAGACGTCCCCTTCTTGATTCAAAACATCTATATGTGAATTATGCCACTTAAGATATACATGGTGTTAAACACATGCTTTTCCACTTTTAGACATTTTGGAACTGTGTAGAATAGGTCCTTGGTTTTATATTTTGGTGAACTTTACAATAAGGCATGTTGATAAAAAGTAGATATTTTGGTGAAATTTCTAATAGAACAGGAAAGGCCTCCTTAATGAAATTCGGCAGACACAGTTCTGATGCGCATGGGTGTACGTGGCTCATGTCAGACACCCCCAGCCCCATCCTGTTGCCACACCCACCCACTTATAACCTGTGTTTAGAAGTGTGTGGTTTGGGTTGGGGTAGAGACCTAGTGAAACACCTTACATAGAGGAGACATGTGACAAATGATTTTTCCTTTGATTGTGTTGAAAGGGACTAGTTTTACGGCCCATGAGCTATGACTGAGCGTTGGGACACAGTCTTGGAAGTAGTTTAGTGGGGAAAAATAATATAAACATAATGAGACTGTTTCAGGAGAAAACATGAGCCTGTCTCACAACGGTATGATGAATCTTATTAACATTTAAGTTGATTTTTAAAAAGTAGTCATAGGATTATTTTAAAGTGCTTGGATTAGAAAAAAATTGGAAAAAAATTTGAGAGAAAAAAAGGAAAGAAAACATCTGAAGAGTAGTAACGTTTTCAAGAACTATTTATCTTGTGCTAATAAAAAAGTGAGCTTGAGGAAGAAGGTAGATTGTGCTGTATTTCTAAAGGATAGACATTGTCTGTGATGTCAGTACTAATGGAGCTTTTAAAAATTAACCCATTAGGGAATGCAAACTAGTACAGCCACTATGGAAAATGGTTTGGAGGTTCCTCAAATTGCTACAAATGGAGCTGCCATATGACCCAGCAATCCCACTCCTAGGTATCTACCCAAAAGACACAAAAACACTGATTGAAAAAGATACTTGCACCCCCATGTTTATTGCTGCTTTATTTACAATTGGAAAGACATGGAAGCAGCCCAAATGCCCAAAAGTGGATGACTGGATTAGAAAGATCTGGTACATATACACAATTGAATATTACTCAGCAACAAAAAAAAAAATAAACACATGCCTTTTGCAGCAACATGGATGGAGCTGGAGAAGATCATGCTTAGTGAAATAAGCCAGAAAGAAAAGGAAAAATCCCGGATGGTTTCACTCATAGCAGTATAACGGACCAAGCAAGAAAATAATAATAATGAACAGCTATATACCAGAGACATTTTGTGGGGGTGGAGGGTAGAATGGGATCAAAAACCGTGGGGGGAGGGAAATGCACTGGACTATGGTGATGGCACAGGATGATTTGGTGATGGGAAGCCCACAGGGATTACAACTGAGAGGGGAAAATGCACAAAATGATGTAAAACTATAATATTTTTTAATTAACCCATTAGATTTTTTTTTTTAAGATTTATTTATTTCTGCATACAGAACTGGGGTACAGGCCAGAGGCTCAGGGGCAGTGAGAGGCTTCACCAGAGACAGAGTGGGGAACAGAACAGGCAGATCGACGAAGTACACTGCTGAGGGGAGTAGCGGGCGGGTCAGGAGAAGTCTGCCACGCCATGTGGTCACCTCCAGGGCAGGCGGGAATTGAACTCATGCGGAAGCGGCTTTAGATTCTCAGTGCTGTGCTTTAACCCGCTGCGCCACCAGGGAGGGCCAACCCATTAGATTTTACAGTTGTATGTAAAGTATATCCTGAAATCTCAATCCATTATTCTTTAAAAAAAAAAAAACTATGGAACTATGGAAGGAAACAAACATTGAATACCTTCAGCTCCACTAGGCTTATTTTAGGCATTCTACAAGTATTCCTTTGTCAGAAGGCTTTCTGTACAGATCTCTGTTCCGCAGCCATTTTATAGTTGAAGATACAGAAGCTCAGAGAGAATTAATAACATACCTGGGGCCATCAGAGCCTGGACTCAAGCTTTACCTTTTCTCAGCCACAGGAACTTGCCTGGTGTAATTTGTGTACCTAGCTGGACATGTCGATGGTCAAGAATAGAACTAGGTCTCTCTCCCAGTCCTCTGTCCTTTTACTTGCTCTTTGCAAGGTCAATTGCTTGCATCCTGTGGTGCAGAGAACAAAGAAGACGATGCAAAGGGATGGGGGGAGGTTGGCAGAACTCAGGACACCCTGTGAGCCTCATGATCTTTTTAAGAGAATTTGCAGCACACATTAAGAAACAAACAACAGGGTCCTTCCTGGCGGTGCAAGGAGATAAAGTGCAGCATTGTGAAGCTGTCCCCAGCCACTGCTGCACGAGTTCACTCCCAGCCAGGGAGCTGCATAGCACACAGCAGCTCTCTGCTGTCTCCCAGCTCACTGCTCCCCTCAGCAGTGTATTTCAGTAGATCTGCCTGTTCTGCCCCCCACTCTGTCTCTAGTGAATCCTCACTCCTCCCACACCTCTGGCCTGTACCCCAGTTCTTTTATGTTTAAATAAATCAATCTTTAAAAAAGAAAAAAATGAGCACTTGGATTTATGTTTAGGAGCGCATCATTAATTTGTGGGAGCAAATGAGTTGATGACAAGCTGAAAGCGTGTTCCACAAGAAGGGATGACACCTTATTAATACCATACACCATTTTCTGTTCCATTTCAGTTACGATATCAGAAGTGTTTGGTAGCCAGGCCGCCTTCACAGAAAGTTCGACCACCTCCTCCGCCAGCAGACTCGGTGACCAGAAGAGTCACAACCAATGTAAAACGAGGGGTCTTATCCCTCATTGACACTTTGAAACAGAAACGCCCTGTCACAGAAACGCCATAGCTTCACGTGTGAGAGGAGTCTGTACTCTTTACCTGAAGATTGAAGAGCTACACTAAAGAGGATGAACTGCTCTCCGGCCTTCTATCTGGTTGCTGATGCTTTGTCTTTGGAGAATTTATCGTTAACCAGTGTTAGACAAGCATGTTCTCTCATCTTGCCACCATCATATGATATGAAAAGAAGCATGACTAAATTTTTTTGCTGTCAGTAAGTTACATCATGAACAGTGGAAGGTCTCTTTCTTACTGTAAATAGCGTGACCATTACTTAACATCACACAAAGAGAGAAGAATGTGGCCACACCCCGTCCAGTGAGTGAATGCCCAGACCTTGGAGTGAATGACACCTGACTTAGTTTCTCTGTCCTCTTGACTGGATCTGTCATGAGCTACTCTTACGTCCTACAGCACTTTGCCCTGTTTCCAGTATTGGATAGACACTGCATAGCAGAGACCACTGAACTGCTGTAAAAATAGGATGGTGACTTTTTTGTTTCCGTTTTTCATAAAATTGAACCCTTCGGTTGACAAACTTGGCTGTTGGCATTGATACAGAAACCAACTGGCAGCTTTCCTTGAGGAGTGCTTTGACACCTGGACACTTCATGTCTACAGCTGTTGGTGGGATGTTGGAAGAAAGTGAAAACTGAAAAAACTAAATTTGAGAAATTGAAATCGAACAAAAAATAGCCTTTCTTTTCAGAGAAAGATGTAACAAAATCATAATGCATTTCGGATGGGACATATTTCAAACTTCTGCCTTATACTGTACAATGCAGCTAGAGAATTATAGTTCACTATGGCCATTCTCTACATAAACAATATTAAAATGAAATATTCTTCGCAAGCCTTTCATCTTTAGTTTGATAATTAGCCAATATGCAATTTGGAGTTGAGGGAACAGCATTTCTATTTTAGATCTCCAGCACCATGTTATTTTGTCAGTTCACCTGCTGGCCAAACTTGTCTGCTGGGATTCTTTATCAGGCTCAGTCTTCCCCTAATGCTTTTTGCCCAGAAAGCTGTCTGTCTATCCTGTATTGTCCATGGCAACAAATTAAATTGAACCTTTCTTGAATTTATGTAATGTTAGAATTTGTTGAGCTCTACTAGATATACTTTTAAATTATTTTCCACTTTCAAGATTCAGAACTTTCATAGTAGAACAACATTACGTAGGAACAATAGACTAACAAATTTCCCCAAAATGGCACTTTGCTGCCTCTCCCTACACAATTAAGAAACTTAGCTATAAAGATAAACACATTTAAACTCTTGGTGACCATGCTGGTTTAAAAGGAGGTTGTTAAGGAAATCACTTTAAAGATTAATCTTGTTTACTCTGTAATGTCAAAACTAGCATTTTACAACATCCGATATAAAATAATGCTTTGTTTATCCACTGCTTTGTACTTGTCAAAATAATTTCCACTTTCAGATCGCATTCGAGCCTTATAAAAATAGAGGGTACTAGACACATGTGCGAAATAAAACTGTAAAGTACCAAGGGGCTCTGACCTTAGCCAAGAGCTAATGTTGGGTAGTGAGAGAATGGGGTGCCCAGCTCTCAGTTGTCACTGTGTTCTGTTTCCACATCAGTTAGAAAAGTCTGTCCAGAAATGACTCTGGTGGATCCAATTATTGTCAGGAAATTTTAGAATCCCCTGGATGAATGGGGGGCCTGTTCAAGGTTGCAGACACAGTGGTGGTACAAGCCATTGCCTTCACTCAGTCTAGGGTGGTTTCCCTACGGTGTGCCTCGCGCATGCTGTATGGGACAGGAGTTTCTGCAAAATGACCAGTTCAACCCAAAAATGATGCTCCATGTGGTAGATTCCTAAAGAGTGGTCTGTAGCCACCAGAGGAGATGGAACTAGTCGGTGGCCCCTGCCTCTGTTCCTCTCCATATTCAAGAATTGTTTGCTACTATCCTGGTGTTCTAGTAAAGATGCCACTTAACGTGAGTTTCCTTTTCACCACCTATCTCCTATTATATCTGAAACGACCAGTGCCATCATAAAATTATTGCATTGAGAGAATCCTTGTTGTGCCCTGTAAAAGCCGTTTGAAATTCAGTCGCAATGATCTTGCATCTTGATCTCCACAGTGAAACATTTAGTGTAGTAAACTTCAAAATTCGGAACAAGCAACCCACTTTTATCATGGAACTCCCCTACCTGAACCCCCCTGTTCATTTTTTAAGGTATGTTTGTTTGTTTTCAGGATCGAGAATACTGAGCTAGCTTTAAGTAGCAAACTGATTTATATATGCAATTAGAGGATGTGTTAAAGACGAATAATAGCCTTTACATGTTGAAAACTTTACTGCAGATACTTTGTTTTGAAAATAGCTTTGCCTACTAAATGCAATTAATTTTGTAAAATTATGTTTCACAATATGTTCAGACACTTTCTGCCATGGCCAAAAAGTATGTATGAAAGAATGTGTGTGTTTTCTGTGAAAGGATGACAGTGTTCTGATGTTGTAGTGACTTCAGTTATCTATGCATTCTTTATATCTGTGATTTGGTAAACAGGCAGCCATGTTCACTATGCCTTGTATGTCTTATCATTTTTTTAATTAACCTGTTAAATACAGCTTAAAATATTTTTATTTTATTTATTCTATTTTTACTGAAATATACTGCATTATTGTGTTAAAATATTCTCTTTCCTGGATAGCATCTCACAATGTATCCAGGTCTAAGTAATCTCAGTGAACTATACATTGCCTACAAGGTGGTTTTGTAATGATTTGTAGTTACATTTTTATTGGAGTATGTAGCAGAAAAGGCAAAATGCTTAAAGTTCCTTTTATTTTTTAAAAAGCAGCTAGACAGACACAGATTTGCCACCTCATATATGTGCTCCTTGGCCGAATCAAGGGGAATAGCCAGCCTGCCTATGGCTAAAAACTTCACTTGGCAAACTTAAAGCACTGCTTGGTGCTTCATTTTTATATCCTTCACTATATGTGTGATCTCATCTAAAAGTAAAAATCAACACATGTCCACACGCTGTTTGTTTCCACCTGGGTAGATGCTCACCCAGTGCGTAGTAGGGCCATTGTTTTTTTGTTTGTGTCTGTCTTATTGCATGAAGGGATATAGACCCATTTCTATTAAAATAAGTTCTTGGTGATAAACTGTTGGCACTGCTGCTTTTTTTTTTTTAAATCCATTTTATGATTATTAGAATGAACATTTATAAAACAATTCTGCTAGAAGCTCAAAAATCTTTCCTCTTGTATGACACGTCCATTTCATAAGCATTGCAACACAAGTTCAAGATTTCTTAAGCAACATGAGAGCATTTTCCTCACCGCTATTAGCACAAATCAACTATTTGGACCGTTGGCTACTTGGTCTGCCAGGCCTCCTTAGCCTAATGCCGAGCTAACCTGTGCTAGACAGTGACATGAAATTCAGTTTCTTTCAGTTTCAGGGAAAAAGGTCCTGCTCGCACTCTATCCATGAGAGCACGCTCCCTGCCACCCGCAGCAGCTCGTTTATCCTGAAAAGAATGTTGGGTTTTCCTTTCGGCCCCTTTCACTGTTGACCACTTTTACACATTTAAATGTAACATGTTGTAAGAATAAACTTAGCTGCATAAAATGTTTGGCTCATTTATCTGACATCGCAATCCTATATATCTGGGAATAATAAGAGTCTGCCAGTCATTTTATTTTTAGATTAAATGGTTTAGAACTCATTTGCATAAACAAAGACTCCGTTTTTATTAATTATTGCATATCCCTGCCTGGTAGGTGTTGGAATATGCACTAAATGTTGAGCATTTCCACACACTGCCCCTATCTGAGCAGGGAGGAAAAGCTGGTACACTGCGTGTCTGGTATCAATCTTTGGTTGCTTGGAGAACCCAACCTCAAGGAATAAAGAACAGAGTTGTACAGGCACGATATCCAAAATAAAAGGCACTAGAAAAGTAAATCTGTTGAATCTAATTGCATTTAGCTATCAGGCAAATGGAGGAAGAGAAAAAGAATGTAAGGTCTGTACCCACTTCTTGTTCCTCTTGCATTTCCTTCAGTAGTTTTATCTTTTACTCTATTAATGGCAGTAAGTAACTCTCAAGGAGCAAAGTTGCGCTTTAGCCCAAGTATTATAGAGTGATAAATAATCAAGCTAAATACCTGAATTTGCTACTGGAATGTCAAAATACCAGTGATTTTGCTTCTTTATATCTTTGCAGCATTTTTCTCTAAAAAGCTCAGTGAAATGTCAGTGTAGTGAATATTCTCCACTAGAATTCTTGTATTTTGCTGTTATCCTAAGTATTTTCTCCTTTCAGTCCCCCAAAGTGTTCAATAACAGATTGTATACTTCTCAGAAGATTCTCGAAGAAGAAAGCTGCACGTTTAATGAAATGGAAAGTTTTCAATTCAAAATCTCCATATGCTTTTTAAAGAAAAGTTATTCAGTGACCAGATGCTTGTCATCAGGTACTGAAAATGTAAGTGGCTACAGTTGTAACATGACAGGAAGCTCCTGCAGCTGGTATGATCAGAAGAAACTGAACTGTTTCATAACGCTAAGAATTTTCTTTTTATAACTTACCACCTAAAATGAAAAACCCAAAACTGTCAACACTTTTGGACGGTGGAATACTTCCCAACCTGAAGTGGGGGGAGGAGAGTATGAAGGCATAGCAGGAGCTCTTGGAGAAGTTTAGTTCCCAAGAGACATGCAATGGCCTGAGCCAGCGGGAGGAGAGGAAAAAGACGATGAAACACATACTGTCACGTTTAGAGCAAAGACTTAAATATTTTTTGATTTTTGAAATTAGTGAAATAAGCTGACCATTTGAAACGTGTGTGCTTTTTAAGACTCATAAGAATGCTTTTGAGATTTAAAATGTAATATGCCTGCTTCAAGCAGTTTTGTTTCTTTACTGTCACATTTTACAGGTAAATGAAATTCTTCAGCTAAAATAAAAATTTATTACTAATAAAATTGAAATCACCATTTTTAAATCTTCACTGCAAGTGAGAAAATAAAAGCATATTAATGGTGGTAAAGACCTAACTGTTCACCTTGAAGATACTACTCTATCAAAATCATGCCGCCTGAACATTTAATAATTTACATAACACGGTTCAACACACTGGATTCTGGAAACAGAACTTTAAACTTGAACTTTATGAACATTTTTTTAACAATCGAATTTTTAGTTGCAATGTATTTAATGTCAAACAATTTCTGTCATCATGATGAAAAAAAAATCAGTAGACCTCAGAAGTGATAATCATACCAATTCTTGGTAGGCAATTGATAATACATTCAAGATGAATTGACTTGCAATATAATTAACAGTGCTACAGTATGTTTTAATTGTGCATCAGAAATGATTTTCCAAAGTTGATTACTGTGTGCCGTATGAAATGACTTGTGTATTTTACTGTTTCACCTGATCTTTGAGTAGAATCAGACATCTTTATGGCTTTCTTCAATCATAGGTGTCACTCGTATTCAAGTTTTGCCTCTTCTGCTGAATTACTACTATTAAGAAGGAAAATTGCTGACCATCACTTTCCTACAACAGGACTTGGGGTGGCGGGAAGGAACGGCTGATACGTTCAATCTGCTCAGGTTCCTGGAAGCCCTTCCACTGAGAAACAGGCTGTCAACAGTGCTGACATCTGACCTCCCCACACCTGGGACTTTGGGCCTACCTATTCCTCCTACTCATACGCAGCCTCATTCACACTACAAAACTCATCATCTCCTATTTAAAGATTTTGATGGTTGGGGGTGGGGGGAATCGACCTCAGTAGTGATTGAAAATGTTAAACTGGAAAAGGACTAGATATTGAAGTGCAGTCTCAGGCGTCTGTGGGAAAGGCAGCATGTCTGCCATAGCTGTGCCTTCTAAAAGGCTGCCTTCCCACAGTGAGTCTAAAGTCTGTGATAAAGCAAACGGTGTTCCCCTTCAGGGAAAACTGTTTTAAAACCTGGTTTTAAAACCGGAGTCCTAAATCCAAATCGAAAGTTAACAAGCGTAAGTTGAGACAAGTTCTAACTGCTGCTGCTAAATCTACACCTGGGCCTTCTAGACCAGATCGGCACTGACTGTTGGAATCTCTGAACTCTATTTTCCTTGATTGCCTACGTTGTTTCTCACTGTAGTCTCTTGAAGGTAGTATCACATTTAGAAAATACTAAGTGACCCAAAGGTTGGGTTATCCTGTGTAGGCATGTCTAACCCTCAGAGAAATAGAAGGCTTTACGGAAAAAAATCAGCTGCTTGACCCTATAAAAACGCACAAGGCAATCAAAGCCATGGGCGAGGGCGCCTGAGTGAGGAGGAAGGTAAGTTTTCTTTAGGCTTTTCCCTTCTTCTGATTAATGGTGTGGAAAAGTAGCCGGTAAGGCAATTCTTGGGTCCACCCCAAGGGTAGTACAACTGTTGAGTGGGTATCTGAGATTTGACTCCTGGAGGACTAGCAAATGGCAGCATTACTGGAGGCAAAACAATCTCTATGGGCTTCAGGGCAACCATCTTGTCTTCTGGCCGAGGTCTTGTGAAGTGTGTTTGCCGTAAATAAGGCCTGGAAGGGGGAATGTGTTTCATGAGTGTGGGCACTAAAGGGTTGGAGGTGGGCTTGTTCGATTTTCTGACCTGTGAGGAAGGACCCGCTTGAGTTGTGCTTTTCTGTGGGAGAATTATTTTTGTTGGCAATGTCTCTGATCCATTAGCATTTGCGTTACTTTCTCGACTCAGGAACTCAGCAATTTTCAGTTGGAGGTTGTTACTATCCGTCATGGAAGATTTTGGCCAAGTTATTTTTGATTTTTTCTTCTTCTTGTCCCGTTTAAAAGATTTGCCCAACTCAATCCCATCCAGTAGTCCCTTTGCTGCAGCACGAGCCAAAACGTCCTTCACAGACACGGTCTCAGATGGGTCCCGCTAAGATTAAAGAAGCAGTTACTAGATAAAGAGGTCACTCTACTGGGTGAGTCAGACTTATCCGCATGTCGGAAAAAAATTTTTTAAGTATCTTTACTTTAAAAAGTGACCTGTAAACCCTTTCATCCCTCCCTATACATTCCGTAAGCCACGGCAAATAACTGTGTGTACTTAAACATCCCCACTTCTCACCCTAATAGGGGAAAAGAAGGACTGGGCTTATCTCTTGTATGTGAAGTAAGGAGAACTAGATGCTGACACATTGCTTGGAGAGGCCGGGGCGGAGAGAAGGCAGGGAGAACACCCAGAAAAGCATGGAGGATAAAAAGAGGGACTTTTTGGCCCTCCCTGGTGGCACAGCGGGTTAAAGGGCAGCACTGCAAGGCTGGCCACCACCACTTTGGTGTAAGTTTGATCCCTGCCCGGGAGGTGACCCACAATGCACAGTAAACCTCTCCTGTCTCACGCCCTGGTCCCCTCAGTCTGCCTATTCTGCTCCCCACTCTGACTAGTGAATCCTCTCCCAGTCCCTGCACCTCTGGCCTGTAGCCCAGTTCTGTATGCATAAACAAATAAATCTTTGTTAAAAAATAGGGACTTTTCGCTATATAGCAGTCATTCCTTTTCCTGTCCTTTAAGCCATTTATGAAGTGAGCACACCATTCCAAAACACTCACAACCTTCCTAGGTTCCTTTAATGAGGCATGTTGTTACTTAATTTCAAAATATGACATGGGTTGGGATTATTTTTTTTCCTTACCTCTCTTGTTAGGACAGCTATAAAGCAACTATTGGTAACTTCAGATGGTTCTATTCTGAAAAATTTATCAGTAGACAGGTGTATTTCGTCTAAGGAGCACAGTGGAAGAACAGGAGGGCTGAGCCTGCAGGAGACATGAGAACAGTCAATTTTTAGAATGGCTTATCTGTCAATGGAGAGAGAAGGTAAATTGCAACATTTTCTTCTATGATGCTTAACCAATGAAAACTTCAAATAAGGATAAAATGAACTATCTAGAATAGGCAAGTCCACAGAGACAGAAAGCAGACCAGAGTTTGATGGGCACTACTGGAATAGGGAAAAGGGAAATGGCAGCTGAGTGTGCAGGAATTTTCATTTTGGGATGATGACACTCTTCTCGAATCAGATAGTGATGGTCGCAAAGCTTTCTGAACACAGAAAAAATATACGCTAACGTGATGAATGTCACAGTATGTGAATTATATGTCAATGATGTCACATTAAGAAGTTACATGCGTTTAATGCATACATTATTTGTAACCAACCATCTGCATACACATTCATACGGCTGATAATCAAATGCTTTACTCAGCCCTGTGTGTCCCAGTGGTAAAAATATCATTGTTTCTGTGTTTGGTGCCCTCCAGACCCTCCAGTTCTGGTGCCCCTCCAGACCTTTACATAATAAGAAGCAACAAAGGGTTACATGTGGCTCTTCAAGGGACTTGCAGGAGCCCGTTCCAGTGGCTGGTGGGAAGGTAGTTGTTAACCTCATCGTGCATCTTTGGATCCTTTTATTTGATACACAAGCGTGGGGAGGAGTTTTGGTAATTAAAAAAAAATTGAGAAGAGGCCCTCCCTGGTGGCGCAGTGGGTTGGAGCACAGCACTAAGAAGCTGAAGCCACTTCAGCATGAGTTCGATCCCCGCCTGCCCCGGAGGTGACCCACATGGCGAGGCAGACCTCTCCTGACCCGCCTGCTGCTCCCCTCAGCAGTGTACTTCATCAATCTGCCTGTTCTGCTCCCCACTCTGTCTCTGGTGAATCCTTTCACCACCCCTGCACCTCTGGCATGTACCCCAGTTCTGTATGCACAAATAAATAAATCCTTAAAAAATTTTCTGAGAAGAAAAACCATTTAAAATGATAGTAATTAAAGTACTGTCATATTAGTGTAGAAATAGCCAATCAGTGGAATAGAATTACAGAAACAAATACACAAGTATATAAGGATATATCAAAAGAAGGTGTCATTTGTATCACTGGGATTGGTGAGAAAGGATTTTAGGTGGAATAAAGTTTTATTTGTACTTTATGCCTTTGCCAAGATAAACAGCAAGTAAGTCGATTCAGTGTAAAAAGATAAGATTATAAAAATACTAAAGGAAAGCTGGCAAAAACATTTACAAGGTGAGAATCAATATAACACAAAATGTAGCCTCCCTGAAGAAAAGCATATGTATTTTGGTGGATAATTTGACAATACCCAAGTAAAACTTAAAATGTACACAGCCTTTGGTGCTGAAAAACCTGGAAGACTACAGATCAACTGTTAAGAATGGTTATATCTAAAAGGATAGGATTTGGAAAATAGCTTCTTCCTTTTAAATTAGTATTTCTGTAATGTCAGTTTTTAGAATGGGGTCAAGAAAAGAAATGTTGCCCAAGTAAGTATTATCAGGGTTAAAATCCAAAATGAGCTGCATATTTCTGGCATGTGAAAAAGAGATTTAAACAACAGATAGCTGATTCGAATAGTTGGCTTGTAATTGGTGTTTAACCCTAAATTCTACCACTTTGGGAATTAAGAAATGATTCTTGAAAGCCAGAGGAAACACTTCCTTCACAAGACAACCCCCAACAAGTGTTAGAATGTACACTCTCCAATTTTAGCCCAAGTCCCAGATGATTCTGTCTTTATAATATCATTATTATACTTTATACCACCTTATGTATTAATAATTAATCATGGCTTACTGAAACAAATATCGACGTTCCCCATTTTTATCATGTTTTATCCTTATAGAAAGGTTCTTATACAAACTTATTCCTGATAGAATCATCCACACTGATAAATTTGACTATCTATAGCAATAGTTTTCTTGCCACTAGACAGTGATTTAGCTAATAACTATGGGTTTTTTAAATCAAATTTTATTGATTAGTCATAAATTTACAAGTCTATATATTTTGGGGGGTAAAGCTTCATGCCTGGACAGGTGCACATTTTGCTCACACTCACTAATGTTATGTTGAGAAACTCCCTGTTAGCCTCCAACAGTAGCTACTAAGTAAAGAGTTAAAGCCAAACAAGGAGGGAAATGCCCATGTGGTTAACAGGTCCACCTATGAATGGGTAAAAGGAAAACCACCAATGAAAAGGAGAAAGCAAACTATTTGCTGTTAAGAACATGCTGTTCTTAGAATTTCAGGAAACATTTCAGAACATGACAAATAGATTATAAAAACAGAAGACACATTTCAAAATACCTCGTTAATTACCACAGCCGTGAAGAAAGAACTGGTGTCTTAGATGTACTCCTTCTGTTGATGCCTATGCCTCAGGTGCAACGTGGCTGCCCTGAGTTTACTTCAGCATATTACTCAGACTCTACTATCGTTTATTGAAGCTATGTTTACCTCAGTCCTTAGGTTGCGGGACTGAAAGGATCTAAGAAATGAGGCTTTCAGCTAACAAAGATCCAATCTTCTTTTTACTTTCTAAGGTTATTTTATACACTTATTTTTTTCTCTACTGAGGTATAGATGTACCTAAGTCCAGGGATATAAAAAATTGGAGCCCAATTTTTCAGAAACCAGTCAAGTCAAAGCCAAAGTACCTGTCACTTTACCAACTATATCAACAACAAAAAGAATCATTTAGTGTGTAGCATGCCACCCATTTCAAAGGCTTCACCAAATCTAAATACTTAAAGTTGTAACTGGTTAGGCTCCTTGGTCATATTAAAATCTAACAAAAAGAAAGTGAAACACTTTACATGCCTTACAAAATCATATTTTTTCAACTGCAAAGATATTACATTGAGTTATTGAGAAGACGCCTTTCCTTTCTTACCTATAAGGTTGCACTTTAAGCCCAAGATCTTGAAATTCCAGTGCTTTCTTAACAACAGCTTCATTTTCTTCTGGAAATACTGAACATGTGCAGTAAACAATTGCTTGAGCTTTAGTAACTGTATTTAAATAAGATTAATTAATAACATGACCCCAGTATAAGCCCTAAACAAATCTGTTACTACACATCTAACTGATGACTAAGACCACATTGTTTTGATAAAACAATGCTTGCATGACTCCTTTTAAAGCATGTATTATTAGTAAGGTAGACTGTGGCTACCAAGTAAATCTGATTTTATAGAAACTGAAAATTCAGCTAGTTAAAAACACAAATACTACGGATTGCCATGAGCTTAATAACTTTAACCCATTCTTCACAAGCTGTCTCATGTACATAGTAAAAAGGATTCTAAAAAAAGACAGAGATCCCAGAAATAAACCCACACTTACATGGACAGTTAATTTACAACAAAGGGGTCCAGAGTCTACAACAGAGAAAAAGTCCTTTCAACAAATGGTATTGGGAAATCTGGACAATTAGGTGTAGAAGAATGAAGCCAGACCACTGTCTCTACCATACAAATCAATTCAAAGGGATTAAAGACTTAAATCTAACACCAGAATCCATTAAATATATAGAAGAAAACAAGTAAAGTACTCCACAGCATTTCCAGGGCTGAATTTTGGGGATGCAAATCCAACACGAAGGAAATAAAAGCAGATATTAAAAATGGGACTATATCAAACTAAAAAGCATCTGTATAGTAAGAGAAACTATTGGCAAAACAAAAAGATACCTTATCTGGAAATCATGTATCCGATAATCATGTATCCGACTAATATCCAAGATTTACAAAAAGAACTTAGGCAACTCAATAAAAAGAGGACAAAGAATCTAATCAAAAAATGAACAGAGAAACTAAACAAATACTAAAGAGACATATAATATAAATATATAGAAGAAAATATATAGAAGAAACTATATATAAATATATATCCATGTGCCAGTAGGCACATGAATAAAATGTTCAACATCACTTTTTATCAGGAAAATGCAAATCAAAACCATGGGATACCACTGCATGGGGTTTTTTATATGGTCCATATTAAAAATAAATAAATAAAAAGCTCCAAACGGAAACAACAAACTTGGCAAGTATGTGGCAAGAAAGGAATCCTTATATGCTGTTGGGGTTCAGCCCCTCTGGAAAACAGTATGGCGTTTTCTCAAATTATTTAAATTAGGTGACCATGTCATTCAGTAATTTCACTCCTTGACATTTATCCAAAAACTGCAAAATCTCAAAGGGATATATGGATTCCAACGTGCACTGCAGCACCACTAGCCAAGTTATGAAAACAACTTAAGTGCCCGAAGACAGCTGACTGGATCAAGATGATGTGGTACATTTACATGATGGAATACTATATCACTACTCAACAAAGATGAAGTCCTGTCACATGTGACAACGTGGACCTGGAGGGTAAGAGACTGAGTGAAATAAGACTGAGGGAGAAAGACAAATACGGGATCATTTCACTCAGATGGAGTATAAGGAGACAAAAGATCTGAAACAAAACAAAGTCTAGAAATGACTGCAGAAGTCAGGCTGCTAGAGGAGGGGGGGGGCGACAAGGTGGGAGGAGGTTCACGGCAGGAGGCAAAGAGGCTGGCCCTCCAGCCACTAAGTTATTATTCATAACTTCCTAATCTTCCAGCCCAATGGCGGAGGGGTGCAGGGCCACACAGCTGGGGAGATGTGAACCTGTACCTCTGAGTCACATCCAACGCTGTAAACCAAAGTTACCGCAGATTAATGGGTTAGTTAATTAAATAAGAGTGAGAGAGACTTAGCTGTGAATCCCAGTTCCGTTACTGACTGCTGAATGAACCTGGAAAAGTGACTTAGACTGACAGTTTTTTCATCTATAAAATGAACTCACTTGTTTCTTCACACTTACCAAGCAGCAATTATGTTTTAGGCACTGTGTCAGACCTTTGAGATTTAGGACAAAAATGCCTGCCCCCAGACAACTTCTTTTCTATGTTTTATTGAAATGCTAAGACAAGCTGAATAGGATTATATTCATGCGAGGACCTGCTATAGCTATTGGGAAAGTACAGGGAAAGAGGATAGTTTGCTTAGGAGATGAGTATATAATTTTGAAGTAGTTAGAGAAAGCATCAAAAAACTATTATTCATCACTTCCTAATCTTCCAGCCCAGTGAATTTCATAGGAATATATTATCATATTCAAAATCCTTTTCGTTAGTAGCATCAACTGAAATGGCAGACTTCTACTTTCTATTTTGCCTTATTTTTACTACATGCATAATAATAATAGAAATATATAGGCAATAATATATTTATAATAATATAGAATATATAACATGATATAAAAATATATAAGCAGTAATAGAAACATGTAAAGAGCTTTCGTTACTCAGACTTCAAGTCAAGAAATCTGTTTTTGTCTATAATTGTGTATCCTCTACTTAGAACTATAAGAAATAAAGAGTTTGATTAAAAGTAGAATTCTAGGCCCTTCCTGGTGGCGCAGCAGGTTAAA